TCCATCTGGCACCGAGGGGAGGTGTGCCAGGAGGACCGCTCCGCCTGAGAAGAAAAAATAAAACATACCTTGACAAGAAATCAGAAGAGCAGTTTTCCGTACAGTATTCACTTGCAGCCTTCTTTTAGTTTTGGTAGCAGTCACTGTCCTGAGAACCGAAACAGTCATTGAGTCAGCCCCGCGATGGGCTGGCGCCCCGTCTTGGGTGTGTCTTCCCTTCCTCCCGTTCCTCGCCAGGATAGGCAACAGCTCCCCACAACTCTGAATTTTTTCATCCTATTCTTCTGTATCAAGACAAAGATGAACCAGTGACCTAAGAATGCACTCACACAAGGAAGAGAGTGAAGCATTTGCTGATTGAATGACTAATCTAATCCCTTATCCGTAATCTCTTATTCTTACTGTCACTCGTTAGACGTCTGTCATATTATGCATAGCTTTTCAATGTATACGAAACGTGATTGTGTTAGAGATAAGTCATCTCAGTGTGTCCTAGTCCTTACGAGCTGAGCTTGTACTAATGGTGGTTTTAAATGCTTCTTTCTTTCAATCTTTTGTACCTCTCAAACCTCACTGTAATTGTAGGTGTTTTAAGCAGAAAGAAAACAGTCACATTATCACTGAAAATGTTTATAATATTTTATATTTATATATTATAATAGTCACAATTTGCTAAATTTGTGGTTCACTGTTCTATTATGGATTTTTTACTTTATTCTGTTTTTTTAGCATATATACATCTCCCACCCTAATTACAGACCGATTTGTTTTTCAAAGTAATTTCAGAAGCCTATGTAAAGCTTGGATGCACACAAGAGATATTGTTTGTAGCATTGCTTTAACCTCTTAAAAAAGATTGATCTTTGCAAAACTTGCTTACCCTAAACACCTCTGATAAGAGACCATGCTTCTTTCCTCTGTAAGTCTCCAAATTATCTCTTTATGCCTAAAACAAATATTTTTCTGAAAGTTTTGTGAATTGTTGATAAACCTGCTTGCACAGTGTGTTCTTTGTGAAAAGCGATCTCGCAGTTACAGCCCTGAGGCACAACAGGGCCATCAGTTCATTAGATCACGCATGTATAGCCCTTTTTTTCCCTTGTCGTATGCCACTTTCCAGAATCACAAGATAACAGGACTCATTACTTTATTGCCAGCGTTTGCAAGTGCTGTGCAGATGAAGCTGGCAGTTCGGCAAGCATGTATTTTTGTAACCCTCATTCCTGCTGCAGTGTGCCAGGTTATACAGTGTCCTGGCTTGATGGTGTGGAGTAAATCTGCTGTGAGCTGAGCCTTTTTCATCACACACCCCCCCCAAACCAGCTGCAGTCTTGTGTGGTTTTGACACGGGATGCTCTGAACAGAAGTTGTTTTGAGCTGATTATCCCAGGAAGGAGGGTCAAGTCTCACTACAAACATGCTTGTAAAAGGGGGTGAACTATTTTTCCCTGTTGGAATTTCCCCTCATGTTTTCAAGCACTGATGTACCTAACATGAAATTCTTCATTTCATCATGAGCTGATTTTTTCAGTTCTGGTTCAGCGGAAGTGCATGTTTGAATCCAGTGACAAAAGTGTATCTGTGCCTTCTTTTTTTTTCCAGTCGAGAGAAAGGGAAGTGTATTATGTTAATGCATAAAAAATAGATTCCTGCCATAAAGACATCAATCGGTTTTATCAGATTATTCAGCGGTTTGTGTGCGATTGCTTCTCTGAAGTGAGAAGTGGCCAGGACAAAAACAGATAGTATCACACACTTACAAGCAAAATGCCAGTGTACCTTAGATTGTTAGTCTGAAGCACAGATCTGTGAATGAACAGCTTTTTTGAAGAGCAGAGCTGTGTCAGAAGGGAGGGATTGAGGCTCTGGGGATTCAGAGCATGTTAAGGTGTATTTTTGGAGTCTGAACCACAGGACTGGGATGGTGAGGGGTGGAAGTGTTTGAGTCATGCACACAGGATCCTGGGACTCTACTACTCATGTTGGGGGCAAACTGTTTCTTTAACGGATCAAGAGTCCACAACAGGAGAGAGGCCTTGGCTAGACCTCTTGACTTGTTTTTGCAGGGTCTTCCTTTACAGTAATGTGTTAAAAGTTACAATAAAAGAACGAGTTGCGTTATCTTCTGATGTGTATTTCTGTGTATATGTGTTCTGCAGGACCTAGATCTAAAACATTTGCAGAGGGTATGTGCTGTAAAGAAGCTGGTGTGTACCCTACTGTTTTTTTTCCCCCTGCAAAGTAATATGATTATGATACTTTGCCATTGTTAGTGTTGCTTGATTAGAATGGTAGAGGAAAATTCTTCCGTGCAGCAGGTAGCCTTTTAGACTCGCAATTCCTTGTCCAAAGAAACCCACACCACTGTACATGTAGGAAGAAAGCTTCTTCGCCCACCACTGAAACATAGTCCGACCCTCCAGCAGCTCCGCTGCACCGAGGACGAAGGGAAAGACGAGAAGAATCTTTATTGTGTGGGTTTTTTGTGCGCCAATTTTCTGATTTTATGTTTGTGTGGTCTGAAGAACATTCGTGGCACCGCACAAGTTGATGATCTTATATTTTAAAATGAGGTATTCTTCCTTTTTATCTTTCCACCTCTGTTTCTTGGTTTCACAAGCCCTTCCACTAGAAACGAGGGACTTTTACTTTGGGCTTACAGCTGTTTTGGGAAAAAGAATGCAGGGCAGAATTGTTTGAGGCTGCAGTTTTTATTGCTTGACTGTCTTGGTTTGATACACCCTGAAAGGTTCATGCCTTTTGATAAGCAAATTTATTTTAGGAAACGTGATATGAAGTAATTTCCCAGCTGAAAGATGTTTAAGAGGTTCAGTGGCCTTACTAAATGCATCTGATCATTGGAGAACTTCAAATTTCTGCCCATTAGGCTGTGATCAATAAAGGTGTCTATTCTTACAATCTCATAAATCAAAATTGGACAAAAATAGCCTCCATCAGTATGTTCTAAAAAGAGCAATGTCTGTTAGACCTTCTGTGCCTCGTAGTGTTGAAAGGAAGATGTTATATCTAGCGTTCCGGTGGTGGTAATATGGAAACTATAGATGTAAAACTAAGATATGATGCAAGAGCTTATGTCACTTCCCAATTAGCCTGTAAATGTAAGTTAATTTCACTTTCAGGAATATTTCTTCTCGCACCAATATAACTAGAGGCTAGTATTGACCTCTACTTATTGTCATTAGACACACTGGGTGAACATAAGGTCAGTAATTGGTTAAGTGATGAATGGTTAGAGGACACATTTGTGTGAATAAAGGAATGTTTGGTATGTAAAGGGCTTCACGGCTTTAGATGGTGGTTGGGTTTTAGAGCAGCAAAATGTTGTGTGTAACCCGGGAGTTATTTCTGTAGTAAAGCCTCCAGGACAAACCAGTATTGTTCAGACCCCTCAGACCACCTTGTTTAGATTAAAGGATGTTCGATTTCCTTAGAACTCCGGGAGTGCAGCAGTCCAGAACAGTCACAATTACCCAGTCAGTACTTAATCATTAGTTAACACTATGGAGATCGAGTGAGCATAAGGATTAAAACTGAGCTACTACAGTGCCATAAAAGCATGATACAAAAAATATCATTTTGGGGAACTTGTTTTTTCAGCTTTTAAGTCTCCACCGTGTCTCCACCTGCAAAACAAACAAATAAAGAATTACAAAAAACATTTGATTCTGGTGAAAGAGCAGAAATTTTACTTTAGGATAAGTTTGTTATCTTGTAATAGTGAATCACAGTGTTTATACTGATAAGTTCCTTACGAAGTTAACAGGTCTGCAGACGAGATCTTGGCTTTTTTTTCTGCAGTGTGTTCTACAGAACTGGGTCCAATGTGGACCTGCAACGTATGTGACCCACCCTCCAGTAAGAAGACAGTTCAGATTTGACCTGCCCTTATTCTCCTCAATGTACTGTTCTTCCAAGACCAGCAGTTTATTCACAGGAGAAGCGCGCACATTTTAAATGTAACAATTAAAAATTGTTCTTACTACCGCCACTAGTAGCAGTGATGTACTTGCCTACTAGTAAATGTCCTTACTACTACTTTACTGCCGGTCTGAGAAAAGCACACTGGGCGTCAGGCTGAGGAAGGAACTTGCTCGGTTCGAGTGCCTGTCCAGTTGCCCTCATCGCCGCCCTGTGTCTGTGTGGAGAAACAGCGGCATCGCAGCAGCTGTTGACGTCTCTTCAGCCAAGGAGCGGTCCTCCCAGTTTTCCTCTCTGCTTTGTCTTCCCAGTCAGTATTCTCAGTGGTGACGACGTGGTTCCAGCAATTCGCCTGCGTCTCGACAGGAAGCTGGGAAGTTGTTCTTCTTAGGGTTCAGCTCGTCTTCAGTGCCACAGGGTCCCTGCTGTAAATCTAGTGCATCTTACAATCTGCCTCTGATTTTTTGGGGGGTTTGGTTTCTTAGGAGGTGAAGGGCAGATGGCTACATCATTGGTCATTTCTTTTTAAGGGGGCTTTGATAAAATGCTTGTTTTGTTGCATTTTAAATTGTTTAAAATTTCGAATGTCATGCAACATCACAAGTAGTGTGAAATTATAAGAGTGTATTCTAACGCCCTCAGATCCAAGAGCGTGGAACTGTTTCATTCATTTTATGTCGTGTGGCTCATGCTGCTCCTGTGTCCCTGTGACGGGATGTTTTGGATGCCGTCAGGTTAGGTCATGTTTTGGAAACCTGAACAGTAGTTTCCACTGCGAGGCAGGACTGCAAAAGCTGAGTCAGTCGATAGTCTTCATCTGTAACTGTTTGCTTTGAAGTTGCCCTTTTCGGTCTCGAATCCGAGTCGTGCCAATTCACAAACCCCTCTGCCTTCCTCTCAGATTTGTCATTTCCTTCACCTGGAATTGCCCAGGAGCCCTGAGTCACAAAGCGATCGTGTTTTTTTTTTATGGGTGTTTATCGTTGCTCTCCGTCTCTCTTCTCGTTTGCAGAGCGATTTGATCACCACTGCCCGTGGGTGGGGAACTGCGTGGGGAAGAGGAACTACAGATTCTTCTACATGTTTATTCTGTCACTGTCTTTCCTGACAATCTTTATATTTGCCTTCGTGATCACCCACGTCATCCTGCGTAAGTACAGGCACATAAAGACCTAAATCGCTCAGTTTTTTAGCCTTGTACAAACATGCATGCTGTACTCAAGAGAATCTGTGTTCTTTTAGAATGCATGATAAAATGTTATAGCTAAATAAAGACCAATCAGTCCAGCTAGCTCATTGGATAGTTGGTAGCTGCATGACGTAAGGATCTCCTTCAGATGAGTCTTGAAAGTAGGTGTAGCGTGTTCCAGACGGCCTTTCCACTGTTCTCATTTTTACTTGTACTTACCTGCAGTTTCCTTTTGTGTCCTGTGGTTTAGGTTTGACTATTCTGAAGTTGTTAATTGGGTTGGTTTTGTCAGGGTTAAACGTTTCGAGGGTTTTGGCTACTTATATCAGGTCCACTTGCACACTTCTCTAAGTCATCGTCATCGTTCTCTCCTGTTCAAAGCCTCTTGACCTCACAGAGCTGATTTTAGCAGTACTGAAAGAAAAGTGCTTCCTGTGGTTTTTTGGTGAGCATAATGCAAAGTCTGTGAGTAGAAATCCTCAAAGAAAATGTTTTGTGACTTTCTGATTTGTTGGAATATTTTTTGCACTGCTTTTTTAAATTAAATAAACAAACCTTTTCTCTTAACATCCCTTAAGCTCCAGCTTGTGACTGGTCAACAATATATAATATTTGCTTATCCAGCATTCATTTTTTTCAGCACACATCACAGATCTATTTTTGAACTCTGATTAAAATTGATTTTATGAGGGCACTTATGAAATGCTTATAGGGTCTGTTTTTTTTTCACAGATGAAGATTAGCTGTACTTCCAGACTTGATGACCTGACATATTGCTAGGTAGTCCACAAATAGTGCTTGGCTTGAACTCTGAGAACGCTGGATGAAGTTTAATTTCATCTGTTGAGAAAATATTTAACCTATTCACCCACAAATGCTGACCTAGTTAATTGTCATTCCCAAGTGGCAGTTACTGGGAATACTTCATTTCACAAGTAGAGGATGTTAGTGATCCGTAATAAGCTGTTACTTTGAACAGTCGAGGGAAAACAACTCGCATTCTTAGACCGTCAAAGAGAAATAACTTTTTCAATCCCTGTACTGTAGATGTTTTTTAGACAATTTCCTTTTTAGAAACGCAGTCTTTATCGCAGTATTCAGAGGACAGGCAGGATTTGGTGAGTTTTCAAGCCAAAAACAAGATCACCGAAGTGATTGGTTGGACAGTTCATTGAACCTGGGATCATTCGCCTGTCAGCATCGCATGCCTCCCCATCTCTCACGGTGGTCATTATGTTACGAGCAGTCAAATATTATTTCAGTGTTTAGTTTCATGCTAGAATGCATCCCGCTAGTATGCCGGTATGAGCAGAAAATGGCAGAGAAAACGATCTCAATGGAAATTGTGCTCTCCGCATTATTTTCGGCTTCACGTTCTCGGTACGTAGCTGGCAACGGGCCAGGCAACAGCACTTGTGTTCCCAGCCCTTTGTGGAGAGAGTGGTCGGGTCAGTCCGAGATCTTGCAGCCCCCTTGGATCTGCGCCATCACATTTCAGAACTTGCTGTGCTCTAATATTCGAACGGCGCTCTTCTTTTGATTGGTGCCGCAGTACCTCTGCACCAACGTCGGAACCTCTGCACTCGGCCTGAACGTCAGGCCCGCTGTTTTGCCCGTGCTGTTCTGGACGTGTGCTGGGCTTGTGTGTGCACTAGATGTAAGCAAGCACAAACGGGGGTGGGGGCCGTCACTGTTTACATTTCGGCACATTACATGTGACGGGGACACTATGCTGTAAACAGGCGCCGTCCTTCGGATGAGACGTAAAACCGAGGTCCTGACTCTCTGTGGTCATTAAAAATCCCAGGGCGCTTCTCGAAAAGAGTAGGGGTGTACCCTGGCATCCTGGCCAAATTTCCAATTGGCCCTTACCAATCATGGCCTCCTAATAATCCCCCTCTATGAATTGGCTGCATCACTCTGCTCTCCTCCCCACTGAGAGCTGGTGTGTGGGGAGTGTACTGGTGCACTATGGCTGCTGTCGCATCATCCAGTGGGGCTGCACACTGGTGGTGGTGGAGGGGATCCCCATCACCTGCTTACCATAGAAGTGTAAGCAATTATAATAATTATAATTATTTCCAATAAGTCGTCCTGTTCACTGTGTAGGCTGTGGGGTTCCTGATGTTTGATGTGTGAAGTTTGTAAGGAGGCGTATCATTGTGTAATTTCCTGATCGTAGCACATATTTTTATGATGCCAGGAATGACCATTTTTATTTGAGATTCTGCATGCAGTTCTGTGTCTGGCTGTTATATGCGTGTGTGTGTGTGTTTTTTTTCAGGATCTCACCGGTCAGGATTCCTGAATGCCCTGAAGGACAGTCCTGCAAGATATCCTTTGCCTGTCTGGGTTTCTGTTATAATTGGGGCTGCCGCCTCTGCAGGATTACCTATGATCTTCATTATTAAAACATACAGGCAGGCCAAGCTGCATGTTTGATTTGTATTTCTGTAATGAAGAACATCTGACTTCCCCAAGCTGCTCAGCTGCATCTACCATCTTAATAATGGCAGCTAGAATCCTCCCTGCGCTGGTTTCAGAGTCGGCAGAGCACATGATAATCCGAGTCTTTTTTTTTTTTTTTAGAGGAATGTTTTTTTTTTTCGGCACTTGAGTTATGACTGGAGTCTAACTGCTGTTTACATGTCAGTCGCAGACACAAGACATCTCTGTTTTGAGGCTTAAACTATTGTTAGACAGCGCCGCCGGCCTCCCAGAGCCCTCAGTCCTCCGGAGTTTGGCTTCTGTCAAGTCATGTCCTTATGCAGCTGAACAACCGACTAGAGGCGGACTGACGTTAACCTTTGTTTTTCAAACTCCGGTTTGTTTCGCACCTCAAGACGTCTGACATGACCAACCATGCTATTGGCCGGTCAGCATCAATGCTGGTATGTCCCCAGTTCAGCTCAGGCTAACAGGCACCTGCTGTATCGTCCTTTTTAGGTATATTTCTTAAAGGGCATTAAAATACTCATGGCTTTGCTTGCCTTTTTGTTATTGTTATTGAATATACTGACTAGTCATGCTGCATGCCTTATGACATTTTTCCACTGTTTTGTTTGCAGCAAAACCGAAGACAGTGAAAAATGCTGCACGTTTATATACAGTACTTATATTACATGTTGTATTAGTAAGTGCTGTGTTTACACAGCTGAGGTGGCCTGTCTTGACAGTCCTCCAGAAACGGAAAGAAGGGCCTGGGCGTTGCACTACACATGTACAGTATGGAGGGGGATTGATCTGTTTTTATGAGTGGGTAAGCATGTCTCTGGGTACCCTCAGGGACACGTGAGTAGGTTCACACCTGCAGTGGTTTAGCATGTACAGATGTAGTTTTTAAGTGCTGGAGGAGAGTGGGACTTTCTGAGACGCGCTGCCAGTGTTCAGAACCCTTGGCAGCCGTTTACTTCATTCGGGGCCTAAAACCTGCGCCTTTGTGCAACACGAAGGCGAAAGGCCAAAGAAAGAAACCGGGCGAAGTTCAGGAGGAGAGGGGCTGTTGTGACTTGGAGATCTTGTACTGAAACAAGTGTCTGCCAGAGAGAAACATGAAAGGGCTTCTGGCGGTAATCCAGCAGGCGGAGAGGCACGGTGTTCTTATGTTACCACGTGCCCGCTGTTTCCAGGGAAAGATGCAGGAGAAAGGCCAGCAGCGGTAAATGCCGGCTGACTCATGGAGTGTCGACATTCCTGCCTCCGGTCGTGTTTCAGAGCTGCTCATGATATCTCAAGTAGCGTGCGTCTGATCTTGGGGAGTCGGGGGGAGACAGTGCGTACCTTTAACAGCTTGGGGTAAAAAAAAATGTGTTCAGAGTTTGCGGTATCGGTGCTCCTGTTGTGCTGACGGTACCATCTTCCTTAACTCGTCGCACTGTGCTGGAGGTGGTGGTGTGTTTCTTCTCTGTGTGGTCTATAGTGGGCCTGTCGGGGTTTCATACCTACTTAATCAGCTCCAACCAGACCACTAACGAAGATGTAAGTCTTTCACTGCTTTTCTTCTCATTCCTCTAGGACTAGATCCGGTTTAGTTTTCCAGTTCAGATTGTACCTTTATCAGTTATTTTATACAGTTTAAATTTCAGCATGACAGACTAATAGGTTTCCAATTTAGATTTCATTGAATTTAGTCTGAATGTTCTGCAGGCTTTTTATTAAGTGTTGTGAGAATTTCAAGACCTCTATCATTGGACACATAATTACATTTCCTAGATTAAGGGTAAAATACTTTGCATACCTAAGCAATGCACATTTTTGAACTGTGAACTGTCTTGTTTTTTTATGCTTCAGATAATTTAATTTGTTTGCATGTTCTCTCCCCTTTTGCACTCCACTCACAGAGAACCAAACCTGCAAATTAGAAATCCAAAAGAGGAATGTCGTTGCCCAGGCAGGGTCCAATTTAAATGCCATATGAATGAGAGTTAAATGTACACATTACAAGGAGCTTTTCTGTCCACAAGTGTGTCAGTACATCAGAAAGACCACAAACACCGGAATGGAGGCTCTGTGGCTAAGGATCTGCGCCTGTGGCTGGAAGGTTGCCGGTTCAAATCCCGCGGCCGGCAGAGGAATCCAACTCTGTTGGGCCCCTGCGCAAGGCCCTTAACCCCCAACTGCTCCAGGGGCGCCGTATAAAAGGCTGACCCTGCGCTCTGACCCCAAGCTTCTCTTCCTTCTCTTCCCAAGCTGGGGAATGCGAAAAGACAAATTCCTCATACATAGTGTATGGCCAATAAAGTGATCTAATAAAGAGAGGATGCTGTTCAGTCCAGTGTGCCCGTTTGGGTCCATTCATGTGTAGTCCAGGAAGCGGTACTCCTTGTCCTGGGGGGCGGCCAGTAAGAAACTTGAAACCACCAGAAGGGGGCAGGTTGGAGTAGCCAGTCATGCCCAACTGTGTCTTTGGGAGGTGAACACATGCGAGAACATGCAGACTCCACGCAGACCAGTGCTGCAAAACGACACCCGGTCACGCTGGAGCTCGGAAGCAGCCGTGCTGTCGGATGGGCCCGGTGTGGTTCGGTAAACTCTCTTTCCTGCTTTCAGATTAAGGGATCGTGGTCCTCGAAAAGGGGAAAAGAAAACTACAACCCTTACAGCTATGGCAACATTTTCACCAACTGCTGTGCCGCCCTGTGCGGGCCTCTGCCGCCAAGGTAAGACCCGGCACCCTGGGCGGGTACGCTCTCCCAGGGTGCACCTGCAGGGACCGGCGTCCGAGGCGGGTTTGTCTTCCTTACGGGGCCTGACGTGCATCCGGCGAAGCAGCAGGAACAGGACATCCATTTGCCCCGCTTGTGGAAACAGTGGCCTAAAACAGCCAGCTGGAGCCTCATTTTACTTTCTCAGGAAAAAGCTTGAAAAGAAAAACAGTTTCTCTGCTGGGGCGTTAGCCGCACCTGGCTTTGTGAGAAAGCGGATATGGGCCCATAGCACACAGACGGATTCTTTACAGAAATGTTCCCCCTCACCTTCAGCTGGTTGATGTTAAAATTTGTGTTTGGGAGGTTCAGCCCGGGAATGAATATTGGCTCAGACACCGATCAATCTCCAAATCGTGATGGGGAACCACTGCTTCCTCACTCCTCGACACGCTCAGCTGCGTGCGGTTCAGGGTTAGCGGTGGGGGTTCTTTCTGCTACAAGTCCTGCAGGTGTCGACCCCCCACTCTCTGCTGTTTGCCTCAACTAATCCGACTGGAATTACTGTCAACGTGGAATATTTTTCTAACCTCTTCTCAGGACGTGTCACCTGTCCTTGTAGAGGTCACTGTAGCATAGCTTTGCGCTGCTCAACAGCAGTTCAAATGTTCTACATCTGACGCGTTTAGCATACATGCAGAGCTATACATGAGATTCTTCCTCAAAGCCAAAAAAAGTCTTGAGGGCTGGATTGACATGAAATCATTCTGTTTTGGTTGCACGTTGGTGGCGTCTTGATCTAGCTTGAACGAAACCCTCGTTTCAAGCGCTTAGTTTATGAAAAAGGTGTATTTTTCAGCTGACAGGTGGCTGCCATCTGTCTTTCTCCAGAACAGGGACTTCCACCCCACAGTGGAGCAGAGGAGACGCGTCTTAGCAAATGAAATGTTGTGCAGTTTACATGCAAGCTGACCGATTGCCTGCAGTCAAGTCAGGTTCAATACACAGTTTATTCCTCCTGCCAAATTACACCAATCTGGAGTCCCCAGAGTCAGATGACGTTTCTTCCAGACAGCCTCGACAAGTGCCTCTTCCATTATTTCTGTGGTGCCGCAACATAAGTTAAATACTTAAATTACATGTCAATGCTTTATTCAGGTCTGTACGTACACACCGTGATGTTTGTGCAAGGTCCAGATCTGTGTTACTTCGTAAAGGACCGTCTGTGGGCCCGTGGCTGACTGGTCGTGTTCAGTCATAGTCACCCACACTGCTGTCGTTTTTCACATCCTCACCCGCAGGAAATGGTGCTTGGCAATATAGACGTCATCGAAGAATAAAAATAACTCATTCTGATTGGCCGCTGCCCCCTGTTCACCCCGGCGTGTTTTATCACGGCGTTTCTTCAACCATAGGTTTGTAGCAGAGCTCCTGCCATCCCGATATGTTAATGTGAGTCTTCCATTATTTCTGGATTGACGAATAACCGCAGTCACAAGCTTCTCCGGATATCCTCGTCTTCCCTCTCCAAGCGGGCGAGACACTAATTGGGGTTGCATTTCTGCTGTGATTCCTGGAAGCTTGTGCTGCACAGAAACGTTAGGTTTTCCTCATAATGCAGTGTTCAGACTTGGTGGCATCTGCTGTACCTTTGGAGGGAAACATTCTTTTAGTGTAAAACTGCATTTGTGGAATTTGATTTCATGACAACAGAGATGGACTGGTGCCCCGTTCAGGCCGTACCCCAACTTGTGCCCATTGCATTCTGGGACAGGCTTCGGTACCCCCGCGACTCTGAATTGGATGAAGGGGCTAGAATGGATGTTTCATGATTGTTAACGTACCATACAAAACCTTGTTGTAAAGTTCATAAATCATCATTTCAGGCAGACGTCGATGTCCTATGAGACGTATTTCACCTTTTAGCAAGACATTCTGTTCAAATATAACATTGTTTTCCGCTTTCTTGCACGTGTATCAGTATTTGGACTCTCGACTTCCTTTAATAATCAAGACTTCTTTATAGAAATCTTTAGTCTCTTCTTAGCCGTTTGCTATCCCTTGGGTTATTGCTGTGAATCTGACCTCTTCAGCCCTGATCCTGGATCTCCAGTCCAGCAGGTTTAATAGGCAACCAGATCAGTAACAGCTGGCTTGTTAAATTAATTTACTGACCACTAAGAATGAAGATCTTTTGCCCATAGGGATAACCTTGTTCTTTAATTGATCTGTCGGGTGGCCTGTTACTGCACTGGGGCTCTCTAGGAAAAGACCTTGATATTTTTTGGACTGAAGCTTCTATGATGATATTATGCATGGCTTCAGTGTGGCTGAGCTGTTCAAAAGAGCTTAGATGTTGGGCAGAAAGGATCTAGCTATGTACCATCTGCTAGCATCTACAAGGTCATTACCCAAGTGTTTCAACAGTGGGATTAGAGAAATCCTTTCTGATTTCCCTGGACATTCGGGTGCCCGTTGTAATAAGGGGTCAGTCCGCCAATGTTTCTAATCAGTTCTTGCCTTAACACACCCGTGACCTTGAAAATCTAATGATGTTTTCTGTTTTTCTCCTTTCCTTGTAGTCTGATAGACAGAAGAGGCTTCATTCAGCCAGACACTCCACAGCCGGTCCCGCCGTCAAACGGGATCACAATGTACGGGGCGACACAGTCTCAGAGCCACATGGTAGGAGCTCTCCCATAGCGTTCTCTCGAGAGTGACACCCACCTGTTCAACCTGCATTTCTCCTTAGCCACGCCTAGAGGAGCTCTAGTCACGTCTCACTGGTGAGATGGGGGCGGGGCTGGCCAGTCGCACCAGCACAGAGTGGTGCGCGGTGAAGATCCGAGTGGCGTTTCTCCTCCAAGATGACCGCCCGCTTGTCACTGAAAGCCATTAACCTTATCCCGCCGCTTTTTCACCCTGCTGTCTCTGACTTTCTGCTGCCATCAGTGATATTTTTAACTTTTGACCCATTATTGATTCCTTTTGGTATGTCAGAATGCTACTGGGACTCTTAAGATTGTGTTGTTGTGTTCTATGATTTAGTTTTTTTTTATAACAAATATCCTTTCTTAGATTCAAATCCAGGCCTGTCTCTTCCCTGTAGCTCTGCTCTGGGAATGTCTTCAGTCCCACTTTGTTGTGTACACTGTTTTGTTTGGTGAGACTTCCACTCTGAGAAAAGCCCATAACTTGCCTCAAGCTGTGCGGTGTGTTCCTCTCAGCACAAGGGTAATTAAATTGCTCCTTTGTGAGTTTATGGCCTTTTCTAACTGCGTCTTTAATGTCGTTCGCTAGTCAAAGCCCATCTCTCGTGGAACAAATATCAAGTGATTACAGATGTATACAGGGAAAGAGGATGTACGGTACGGTAGGATATAGCAGTTTAGATTGTATTATAATTAACCTCTGGTAGTTGTACAGAAATGAAATGGTGGAAGGCTTTTGTGTCTTCAGCATGACCTCTGCAATTGCCCAGTTCAGATGTACAGAGATTTGCTGGAGGCAGTGAACGTATTTTCTGTTTTCTTCAAATTGCATGTGGTAGAGGAGTGAGACACGGCCATTCTCTCTCAATTGGGGGATTGTGCAGCTGTTTTTGAGCAAATATCGAATTGCTTGTGAAGATGACCACATGAGAGAACTGGAACCTTGTGCTAATTCTTTAACTCCTCTCCATCAGATCGTGAAGCCAATCATGGCACATTCATTCTGGGGTCAAACTTTCTCACTTCTTGCCATAGAAAGTCTTAAAAGCCGGTTTTGTTTTCTAACAGTGCCTCAGCACTGCGCTTGAAAACACACACAGCCATGAAATGTAAGAATTTATATATTTTTTTTAATTAAAAATGGGAAATGGCGCCCTCTTTGTGACCTGATGCTCACAGCTCTATCTGAAGTGTCTGTGCCTGTGTCTGAGAAACAGTTCCGGGTGGGTGTGGGAGCGCTTTGTGCTTTCCGTCTTGAAAGGTGACAAGGCTTTCTAGCCTGTTTGGTAGTTGGTAGCCTCTTGATCCCAGGATCCCAGCCAGTTCTTTTTTTGTGTGCTTCGTGTTCCTGAAATGCAATGTAAAACCAAGTTTGTTTTTTCCTTCTTTTTTATTTTGTAATGGTAAAACTTAAAGGCCTCCCCCCCCGCCACCCCCCGGGTTTGAAGCAGCAGCTGCCTTTGTAGAGCCCCAGGCAGATTCCCATGGTCGAGCTTACAGTTTACTTCAACGCCTCCGTTGACACAGGGCAGATGCCAGGCTCAGCCTGGGCACTTGCTTGTGTAGCACGGTCTGCTTTGTGTCACTTTCCACTCTCGGGGCCTGGGGGCACTGGCGATGCCCCGCCAGCTCGATCGATAAGGGTCCTAGAAGGAGAATTAAGACATCCATTCTGCTGTTGTGAGACGGAAAGCTGCACACCAAGCTTAGGTGATTGAGTAATTCACAGTTCTCAGGATCGGGACTTTAATTGATGCTGCCCAGTGTGTGGCAAAGTTGTGTGGGAATTATACTTTTTTATTAAGCTTGAATGAGACATTGGAGACGTGCAGTTGTTAGAGAGATACGCCCATCAGTAGCACTCAAGGTGTTGGTGTGTTGATAGCTCACAGGACAATGAAGAGCTTTGTGAGATCTTCTCCTGTTTAAAAAAAAAAATGGGCATTTATCACCTGTAACATGAAGCAGCTTTTTAAAAGCTCCTTACTTTATTTTTAGCACAGTCATTTCTGTCTGTGTTGCAGTTTAAACCAGGTGCGCAATAGTGCCGTGTCTTCAGCTTCAGGCACAAAAACTGGGGAAGGACATATTACTGACGGCAGAAACGGATCAGTCATCCAGCTTGTATGACGTCCCTTTCTAAACCGAAACACAAAAACATTGTTTATCAGCAGCTTGAACGACAGTCCTTAAGACCCAGCTTTAAAAGGGGTTTAATTATTATTATTTGAGTGCACATTATATTTTGATTCCACGCGTGGTTCGTTTTGTTTGCTCATTTTTTGGAATCATCTCTGATGTCAAGTCCACGCCTTTGTAATTCAGACAAAGATCACCTATGGTGGTGATCTCCTGTTTGCACACTTGACCTGCCGCAATTGTTACCCGAGTTATACAGGACACGAGAGCACAACATGTACGTGCATAATCCGGGCCTTAGTTTGTACTCAAATGGCATTTGTTCACAGTATTTGCACTGAAAGGGAAGTTCTCTAAAATGGGCAGAGATTCTGTAGCTCATCTATCATAAAGTTATTTGCAGAGGGTTTCTTAAAATGTTCTTTTGTTTTGCCCAGCACAAAGGAATCCCCACTTTCTGTGGTCAAACTGCGAGGCAGCAAAAACCTTTCTGCTCTCCTCTCGCGTTATGTGTCGGCTAGCATCTGATCTGGCTCTTTTTAACCCCGAGAAATTCCTGTGTCCCTTCAAGGCCCCTCTCCTTTGCATAACTTTAATGATTATAGTAAATCGCAACTCTGTAAAATCAACATATTCTAAAAGCAGAGAACTTAGACTGTCAAAATATCTCCGCTTCCTGGCAACAGTGATGTCCTTGGCCTGTGTTCAGCAGCTCTTTGAGGACCCTGGGGTGGGAGGGAGCATGTGTACGCTGGGAGACCCTGCGCTTCACAACAAAACATGGATGAAAGTCTCCCGCTGTCTTGAGCAAACAGGGAAGGAGGCTGTAAAAAAGGCCTGACTGCTGAAGACAAAGAATGCAGAGAACCTAATGTGACCTTCGCTGGAGGCTCTGAAAGATGAAAGAGATGTTCCAGAGATTTTTTCTCTGCCTCTTAACATCTGAAGGTCCTCTGCACAAGTGCTCATTAAGTGGCATTTTCCTGGAACAGATTAAAGCAAATGTGAATTAAACGAAAAGAAAACGGACGTTTTTAATTCAGCCGTTTTCATGCGAAGGCCAGTGTGTTTATTACTTACGGCACTCACACCTTCAATGGTAGAAGTATCCATTTCAAGGTCTGAGATGGGGAACTCATTCTTCTTTTCTCATTCAATGTATATTTCACCGCAGAATTTAATGTATTTATTTTTCAGACATTACAACTGTCCAACTTATCTTCTCTGTCAGAAAGAAACATTTTTAAAAGTTCAAAGCTGTGCTTCTACATAGCATTAAGACCTAAACGATGCTGCTATTTACCTCTAGATTTATTTCATGTAATGATTTGCCAAATATAATATATGGCCCACTGCTTTCCTTCCTGTGAAGAAACTGCTATGAATTATGAGATGAGTGCATATTTATTAGCCAAGACCGTTTTACGAAATCAGAACTTTCTAATAATAATAATACATTTCTAATTGTGCTTCAGAGGTGTTCAGTCAAAAACTAAGGAGCTGTTTTTCTCCTTTTAGGTCCCATCAGTGTGGTATAGCTATAAATGTCTTGATTTACTATATAAACAGTTTGTCTTTTTGAAAATAGATGATTAATGCTCCCATATGCCATAATTCCTAGTGCCTTTGGTTGCTCTTAAACACACCCAAAATCTAAACAATGTTTCTGCTTCAAAACAGCCTATATGTAATGAACATGTACATTAATCAATGTTGAGGAAAAAATATTAAATGAGTATTGCTGAGACCTACACCTGTGATGTCCTTGCTGCATCACTATCACATTGGTATTCTTTTTATTGGTCAATTATATTGACTCACAAAAATAGTTTTTAAAATGTCCATTTTCTTTTTTCGCTTTTATAGCAACAAAAGCGCTGATACTTCTTATACTATTGCTCAAAGTGTGATACTACTGTGTTGTGTGAAAATATTGTTGCGCAGCACGGATAGCCACCCCTCTGATTTTGCTCGTAAGATGAGTGAGATGTGTCCAAAGATGTTTATGAAGGAATGGTTAGTGAACACAGGGTGTAGGAAAATCTTGCAGTTTGTAGTAGGACAAGACATTAAACTAATGAAATTAGCAGCATTGTAGTTTTCAGGAGGAGATCCCTTGAATATAGAGATGCTGGAAGCAGAGAACATAATTTTATGACCAACATTTGACTTTTGTTTAAGTATAAACGACATCACCACACATTCATATATTTCTAATGCAATGTTATGGATGTAAAGTGCCTTTTAATCATTTCTAGTGATGTCCCTGTTTGTTGAGTTACCCGTGATGCGTGCTTTTTCAAAGTTTTTTAAATCAATCCTTGAATCAACATTTTTAGCTGGGTGAAAGACAGAGAATGTCAACACAAAGACATTTTTGACTGACCTTGGATATACATTTTGACAGACTGCGGGCATAGTCTGCAGTGACAGCTTGAAATCTGCTCCCACTTTGTAAGGCTTTTCAGAATTGTGTCAGCAGGCTGGAGAGAGAAAAGATCTCTTCAGTTTCGGAAGTAAGATTCAAACGAAAGCTGGTGAGTTTAGGTGAGGTTATGTCTTACGGTTAAGGTTGAGGTCTCCTCGTAGTCTTTGTGATTGACTTTACGTGTCTGTTCAATCTTCTCTGGCCTGATTCCGGAGTGGTAACGTCTTTTTGATGGTTAGGGGACTAACAGTGTGCACACTTTTATTAAACCTTTTTATGAATTTGATTCAAATCTACCTAATGCATTGCAGGATGTGAACATACTATCCCTTGATTGAAATTCTTTGCTTTTAAATATGTATCTTAACATTTTGTTTAAAGTTTTTAGTGCTTCCACACATCATCGAGAAAATGTCAACTTAAATGCCAGTCCTTTTTCCTCAACTCAGTATTTCCCATATTTTATTCAGTTTTTTTTTCCTACCTGCATATTGCCTGCAACTTTGACTCATTTACTGACTACCACAATCTAGGATATTGATAGAAATCAGGAAGAGCAGTAACCCTACTCCCGATCTCTATGGTACACCACTATTTCCATCAGTCCAGAATGGACCTCCACCCCTCGTCTGTACTCTCTCCTCTGTATCTCTGCACTAGTTTTCAAACACAACTCCCATTTTTCTGGATGCCTACTGCAATTGGAGAAATCTTGAAATTGAAATCAGTCCTTTTTTGAGAAATTTTGTGGATATATATTTTAAAATCTAAATATGCCTCTATGCTCTATTGTCATGCTTTGTGTGTGTCCATTGCTCTCGCTGCTTGCTCAGACATGCCTTCTGTGAATCCGTATTGACTATCCCCTGCAATCTTATTTCCAAACAGGGGATTGTCTAGTTTAGTTCTGTTTCCATGACTTCTTTGCTGTTGCAGTACTGAGAGAGCCTTTCAGAAAGAGCCTGAAAGAGCCTTTATTATTACAGAGTCTCCAATGAAATAGCATCTGTAGCATCTCTTCTGGCCTTGCTAATATCCTTTGTTTATCTGTGCTTGCAATCCCTTTTCCTTAACTGGATCCTGTTGATTTTAATCTTTTTTTTTGTAAAGGTTTTTTTTCTCTTGAATATTTCCAAATTGATTTATTGAGCCCTTCGGGGTACTGTTTTTTTTTCAGCTTTTGATTTTCCTCCGTCTTGGGATGATCTGTCCTGTGCTTTAAGCAGAATCTCCTTCGGCTGCTGCTGTGCATTCTCTTCCAGTGCCAAATCTGTCCCGTTTCCTTTGACCTCTCGTTCCTTCAGACTCTGCTTTCCTGACTTTGTGGCTGTTTGATTCGGGCTTGGTACTGCGTGCTGTGCCCCTCTCAGTAATGCCTGCTGCCTGTAGCACTAAAAAAAGTTTTCAGACCAGTTGACTTTGGACCACCAATTCCAGATTGGAGGGGAAAGAAGTGTTTTTATACCAAACAATTTATAAGTTTCAGAATAGTTCTTTTGAGGTTAGTGTAATATGCTCCGAGGTTGTGAAGGACCTAGATATTTGGGGAAGAGACTGAGAAAGCTTTATGCTGTGTGGATGACCTGTCTCTCTCTTCCGATTATATTGGCGTGGTGTTTGCATGGCACCTGGTGTGAAGTTCCCCCAGAATGATGTGTTCCTGGAACTCGACAATTCCTCACAGCCACCTCCTGTGTTTTTACAGAGCCTGGAGGTGTCCTGAGTTATTTTTGAGAGCTGTCAAAGAGCTGCTTTGTGCATCTGTACCATGAACCTTTGTCACCACTGCTTTACCCTGTTGACGTCCTCCAGGCTCTATCGTTGTTTTTTTGGGGGTTTGTGCACTCACAGTTTAAAAAGGCAATATTTCAGTTTAAGCCTCCAAGGATATTTATTTGTACTTGTAAAATATTACCTTGTGTAAATAACCTTTTGTGTAAAAGTCTTGGTTATAGAAAATGATTTATTTTTTTAGAGTGAGAAATCTAATCTTGTGTTCTGTTTTTTAAATGCATATTTAATGGTTAGAGACTGTTGAATAATCTTCCATCTTCCATGGCCCATTTTCATTTTCTCTGGGGGAGATCAAAGAGAAAGCCATTTGTCATGGGCAGTCACATGCAGTCCTCTCCACACCGGGCAAAATGTCTCCAGTCAAGATTTTAAAAAGCTTCGCTTGATTCCATGCAAACATTGCAAAACCAAATGGTTACAGACCTGTGCAGATTCTGAAATCAAATCAAGAATATTTTTTTCTTGCTTGGCTTTTTAGACGTTTTTTTCCCCCGTTTCTTTCCTTACAGCTATTTTTAAACTCGTAGCTAAATGGTGACATCCGTTCAATAGGCACGGCGCGGTTTTATCGCATTGTGGTTGGTGTTTATCACTGGCTGCCCTTGTGAAATAATTGTCTGAAGCATAAATAGAATTCCGAAAGCCACATTCCTCTTTGGATTCCTAACATCTTTTCGGTGTGGGATATCAGTACCGAATGCCATGTATAGCCTGTATATGTGGGGGCTACATTGAATGTGTTTGCAATTTGCCTGATCATCATTTATTTCCGTTAGCATTCCTCATGTGAAATAATTATGGCTGTTCACCTTGTTAGAATTTGAAATGTTTGGAAAGATTGTGTTTCTTTCTCCCTGTTGCATGGCACAAAATGTTCTGAATAAACATGCATGATGACTGTTGCTCTTCCCACCTGTGCTGTCCTGGTTTCACGCCGTCTTCTGCTCATTGGTCGCATATGTACACAGCACTGAAGGAGCCACCTCCACCTGTTTAATTCCAACACTGCGAAAGAAGGAACTGTCCGCAGGCAGTTCGTTTCGTGTCCCTTGTGTGTGGCCGACTCGGGGTGGAGGACAAGGCCAAGCGTCATCAATTCTGAAGGAATCCATTTATTTTATAAAACAAAGTAGTTTGGTTTACGTACAGGATATCTTAATGAGTGATTTAATTTCCCTTGCTTCATTGAATTACAGTGGATTGCGAACTTCCATTCTGCTTTGAACAGAGACCCCTGTTCCCTGTTCTGGCATCAGCAAGAGCAATGTGGTGATTAATTACTGTGTGCAGCTACTATTGCAAAAATGCTGTTCTGATGAAACAGCAGCCCAGGCGACAATTCTGCATCTTCTGCAACCGATGCCCACTTCTTCTCCAGAACCTGTAATCACATCCACTTCAGCTCGTTATCAGCTAACGCAGCCCTAAACTTGAATCTTTTATCATTTCCTGCGTAGGCTGAGGCTGCTAAGACACCCACAGAAGGGATTCAGTTCAGTCATTATTGTTGCTTCCCAATCTTTTAACAAATAGAAGACTGGCCTTTAAATCCTATTATTGTTAATGGTCTAGATAACCTCTCCTTTGTGTGCAGTTCCACCCCCCATGATTCATTCCTGCCGTGTGATTTGTTCGGGGCATTTTTAAGTAGCCGTTCCGGAGTGAAGTGAATTTGCTCGTAAAGAGCAGCAGACTTGGACGGGCCTTTTTGCTCTCATGTATTTCGAAACGAAATAAGCATGAAGTGTGTGGAATGTTAGTATGGCTGGGGTAAACAAACTGCTCAAGACAGAATTAGCACTATCCTGGAAACATACTTGATAATTTCACCATAGAAAATCCCTTAACCAGGACCCAACAATTTCCCCTTGTTCAGCCAGCGTCTCTAATTGGACTTTCCTGGTTTTCCATGATTAGCATTCATGCGGGGGGGACTGATAGATTTTCATTTCTGCAGTCGGCCACACAAGCTAGAGTTGTCTACACTGGACCTGACAGCGTGTTTAATGCTTCTGCATCTTGGTGCTCATCAGTTTCATTTCCTGCTAAGATGTGTAACCCTGTTTTTTGTACTTCTGAAGAGAGCTGTTAAGATCAATTCTGTTCTTGCTGTTGCCACTAAATGTTACTACTAACAAGTTTGTTATTAACCCTATTTGCTGCTGCCGATGATAGTAGTATAAAAGCCTGATACACTGGAAGAATCGTACCTGCTGGTGGACACTGTTCATATCCTGTGCGTTGCTTGAGAAGCTGCTGCTACATTCACTAATGCGCACAGGCAGTGAATTAGTGTGTTTGTCATCGTGCCTCCTACCAGCTCAGACCCCATTATCTTCAGCCTTGACCCTCATAGCTGTGCCGTCACACATTTTGCGTGCTTGTGATGTATGGGTTTTGTTTGCATTTAAATGAGGTAACTAATGTCTCTTTTCTTTTCTTCCTCTTCTTCCCCTTCTTCCCTTTCCTTATTCTAACCCTGTTCTACTTGCCCCTCTCCCCCTCCTTTGTCTTTTGTTCCTGACCGTTTTCCCGGTGACCTGGCCCTGTGTTTATTCTCTCTCCCTCCCGCCCCCATGTCTCTCTCTCTCTCTCGTCTCAGTGTGACCAAGACCAGTGCATTCAGAGCACTAAATTCGTTTTGCAGGCCGCCGCCACGCCCCTGTTACAGAGCGAGCCTATCATAGTCGCCGACGAGCCGCCGTTGCCGGGCAAAACCTCTCTCGCCAGCCCCTGCGCCGCCCTGCCCCTGGGCCAGCCCACCCCCCCCACCTCCATGCCCAACCTCAGCTACGAGGCCGACCTGCTGCCCGCGCGCCAGGAGCAGGAGGGCCACCACTTCCTCACCCCCGAGGAGGTGCCCTCCCCGCCGGGGATGCTGCCCGCCGGGCTTCCGCTCGCTCACAGCCACACCATGCACCTGTTCGACCCCGCCAGCCAGGACTCGCTCCACGAAGACTCGGTCCGCGGCCTGGTCAAGCTGAGCTCCGTGTGACCCGCAACAAAACCCCCCCCCCCAGCCGCCCGCACGCCGCCGTTGACTCCCACCTCACACGTACACACACCCCCTCCCCCCCCACACACACACCGCCCCCCCCGCTAACGATACCACCCGGGCCGGGCCAAGGAGCCGCGCGGCTCGGACGAGGACAACGGACCCTTTTCTCGTGTTGTTCAGGATTCCACTTCGGGGAGGGGGGGAGAAAAAATCTCTCGGGCGGCGCGGGAGAGGCCACGCCTGAGGCGAGGAAGAGGCCTCTGGGACAGAGGTGCCCCCCCCGCCGGACGCCGAGAGAGCCGGAGGTGTTGGGCGCAGCTGTGAATTTACCCCCCCTCACAGGCCGAGCTGGGCAGGCCTCCGCAGTGACATTCCCAGAGGAACTTTTTTCAAAGAAAAAAACTCGCCAAGTAACGGCCATGTTCCCGACGTGTCGAGGAAACCACGCAGTATAATATAAACTGCTGAACTTTATTACCAATGCTGCTTTTTTTCTGTTTTATATATCCGCGAGTCCAGCGGCACTATTTTATAAGCGGACATAGCAAGCTCATTTAAAGCCGATGGACGTTGTTAATGCCTTTCTATCTTTGAAAATGTTCCCGACGTTTAGCAGTGCAACTGGTAACTTGATGTTACTGCATCGTGTTGCATATCATTTAAACTTTTTTATGTTAAGTGTTTAAAGATATGGTATTGTGATGTGCCATACCATTTTCTTCTCCCAATTGTTATATTTCCTGTGGATATTAATAAAATTCCGAGTTTTTATCTTTTAATTTAGCCCACTTTTATACACCACTAACCACGCAAGAAGTGAATTTTAAATTTCACATTTCCTGGCCTATTTCTGATACAGCTGAAACCAAGTATAAGCCTTCGCCAGAACTTGGTCATTTGTTTAAAGTCCAGGTCTCGAGGCTCTAAATGAAGTGGAATACAGGGACGTCAGAGCTCCGTCGGAAAAAGGGACACCATAGTAAAGAGTGCTGGACCAAACAGCACGTCCCTAGAGGCAGCTGTCTTGAAAATGGAAAAGGTGGTCAACATTCCACCTGGTAATATTAAGACGCTTTACCAGTACATCCTCTAGCATAATGTTAAACAAATTCAAGTTGTATTTTAGAGATAAGGCATAGTTTGTTTTCATACATGAGCTATAAAAATCTGTGAGTTCTTGAGGTATAAACATTTTTTACCCCTTGCTGTAGGCATCAATTTGCAAGTCCCCAGTGACCATTGTGTTGTAATAGGCTTCTGCAACTGTTTATGGCTTGACTTGCTCTGGCGAAACTTCCTGCAGCTGTCCCCAAAACCCCGTCGGATTTGTGGACGTGTTCCCTCCTGGAGCGAAGACGGGTCTCAAATTTGTATGAAGCACTTGGAGTTGAGATTCTCAAAGATGAGAGCTTCAAACCAAGGCACAGAGGAGCAGATTTAACTGTACTGGAAGAGGAACCAAGAGGAGCCTGAGCGACACCGTCTCATGGTTGCTGTTTTTTTTCCAGTGTTGAACTGATCGTGTCATTCATTCAAAGCCCCTTACAAAAAAAAACGGGGATCGACAAATAATCCCAAGTTTGTCCGCTTTAAGCATTTTCCAGGTATTTTTCCACCTGTATTAAAAGCAAAAAAAAAACATTAGACAGATGCCAAACCACAAAGAGGTAGTTTTGTTTTGTCTTTTGATATAAAGGGGATGAATTGGTGCGTGCAGTTTTTAATCTTAAACATGAACATAAATCTTTAATCTTAGAACATGTTGTGGTCCTAATTCCACTGGTGCATTACTTCTGGTCCATGCCTGCCGTTACATAACAACAGAGGAACAGGTTACAGCAGAGAGGCGGCTGCTGTTCTGAGTTGGCCGCCGGCAACTAATTGATTTGAATCATCCAGCCATCTGTTCCTCTAGAATGACGGACTCCTCCCACTGCGCCACATTAAGCTGGGTTCAGAGACAGACATACCTGTCATTTCTGACACTCGTGCGGGAGATCTGTTAAAACCCACTCTCAGGATGTGCCTTTAAAGGTAAGGCTTTCTGACCTGGTCATCACGTGCTGATTGTTAAACGATGGACACGTATAAATCCGCATTGCGCACGTCTTGCAGTACTTGACCACTGCCCCATCACATTTTAAAATGGCCCTCGTGTCACCTGCGATGGAAAAACCTCTGATTCATTTTGCCTGCCAAGGTAGAGGAAACGGGATGGCTGTTTTTTTTTCTCCTACTGGAATGCCAGAAGCTCCACTGTGAACATTAAAGCATGTTCCAACGCACTACAGCTCAGTCCTCTGTAATCATTTTAATGTGTGGCTAATGTTCTTACACTCCGCTGCTAACTTCAAAGGTGCTATTAACAGCTTTACGAATTGCAAGGCCTCGGGAATGATTGTGAATTTGTCTTTTGTTCGCTGCTTGGCTGGCTCATTGTGGTGCCTCCAAGGGTATCTGGCGCCATCTGGTGGCAGCAGAGGATCATTGGATTGGATACTGAGTCGGATGCCTTTACAGCCTGCAGTTACTTTTCATGACAGCCTAAAGATTTGGTTTCTCCTAAGCCATTAATTTATTTTTAGACTTCACTTATTTGCCTGCCAACAACCAAGGACTTGATGGGGACATTTTTTTTTTGTAGCAGACAAAAAGTTATTTCTTCAGAATAAGGCTGTTTGAAGTAATTTGACAATTTTTCAGAAAACAGAGGACTCCCTTTACCTGAATATTTTTGTTTGTTATCAGAGTTCTGCTACAGGACTCGGTGTTACATCACAGAGTAATTTCCACACATGAGTAATGTAATGTTCATGGAGTCCACTCAAAGAGTCAGGTAAGTTTTGCAATATACAATACAGGACATCAGGACTACCCTTCTCTTTGGCATAAACTCGCAGAGATGTCAATGTAGAGATAAAAAGTACAGGCAATGGACCACAAAATGGAAACATCTTGGTAAAGAAAGGATGCTGAAAGTATATTGAACACAAGTGCTTCTACAGAGGAACGGCTCGTGTGTTAATTTAGCAAATAACCATCCCAGCATGCTTAGGGTTGTGTATCAAAATGCTAGACAGGCCTGCTTGATGGCTGATCATACTGCAAGAGGAGATCTCGGGGACTTTGAAAAAGGGGTGATTGTTGTGGTGTGTTGGGTAGGAGCATCAGTGACCAAGACAGCCCAACTTGCTAGTAATAATAATAATAAAACAACTTTATTTTATATAGCACTTTTAAAGATGGGAATGAGGATTTTGAAGTTGACACAGAACTTGACAGGAAGCCAGTGCAAATACTCCAGGACAGGAGTAATGTGATTACCTGGACTAGACCTGGTCAGGATTCTGGCTGCCAAATTTTGGATATACTAGAGTTTGTTCAATGTGGATTTAGATACCCCAGTGAGTAGAGCATTACAGTAGTCAATTCGGGAGAAGACAAATGTGTTGATCAGCTTTTCAGCCACAATTTATGATAACATGGGACGTGGTCTGGTGATATTTTTTAGGTGAAAGCACATGTGGGTTGAATGTCAAGCCAAATCAAATCCAGCCAAGTCAGATATCACCCCCATGTTTTTCAGTTTAGACTGAAGTTCAAGTACAGTACCATCCACAGATAGGGTTACAGGATTGACTTTACAAAGTTGATGGGGGTTGCCAATAAGTATGACGTCTGTCTTGTCACAATTTAGATTAAGGAAATTTTGAGTCATCCGTGTTTTTGTCAGAGGTGCAATTAGAATTGAGACAGTCACTTCAGTGTCAGGTTTGGTGTGGATGTACTGTAGATTTGAGTATCGTCAGGATAGAAATGATAGTTTAGGCCATATGATCTTAAAAGCTGACCAAGTGGAAACAGGTAAATGCTGAAATGTAGGGGGCCCAGTATTGGGCCCTGAGGAACACCAGACTTGACGAGTCTAGTTTCAGACCTAAATCCTCCAAGAGAGACAAAGTGACAGCAATCAGTGAGATGAGACTTGAACCATTTTGAGAGGACTGTCAGAAACTCCAAACACACTCTCAAGGTGAGAAAGTAAGATATCACGGTTAACAGTGTCGAAAACAGTACTGAGATCAAAGAAGAACGAGGATAGAGAGAGAACCAGAAGCAGATGGTATTTGAAGATCGTTAGTGACTGTTCAGGGCAGTTTCTGTGCTGTGAAGTTGTCGGACCCCAGATTGGAGGGGTTCGAAAAGGTTATTTGCAATAAGGGTGACCAACTGAATTGTAACTGCACTGTCCAGAGCTATGTTAGGCTTTTTTAACACAGGGGTGATGGCAGCAGTTTTGAGGACCGTTGGTACAACACCAGTGCTTAAGGGTTCATTTATTATATTGAGGATAACGGGGCAGAGAGAAGTGAAACAGGACTGAGATAAAGTGGTGGGAATGGGAACTAATAGGCAGGTGATGGGTTTCATGTGTGAAACTAGTAATATCCTACCTTAATGTGAGCATTGGCACTGAGAACTTACTTGAGAACACTTATGATTTTTTTTGGAACGTGTTGAGACTGCTGATCATGTCGATGACATTTTTATTGTGTCCCTGCACCTCGACATTCAGCTCATTCAGCAGTCCAGTCAAGTCTGTGAGGAAGGCTAAATCCAGAAGCCACTGGTCATCCTCTAACTGGGCATATTCACCATGTTTAGACCACTTGAGAAACTCTTTGATTTCAGGTAACAGCTGTCTGAACCTCACCAGACATGTTTGTTTTTTAAATCTCCAAACAGCAAGTCAACAGCATCAGCAAACGCTTTTTTAATGACTTCTGGATCCCTGAATGACTTTTTGTGTTGAGCCAGGACGTGGCTCACACGGAACAATGCGATGAGTGCCGCTTTCCCTCTGTTATTTGGCCTCGTGAAAACCGTCTGTTGCTAGTTGAGATTTTAATTTGTCCACTTTTCTTTTCGGTAACTCACTTTTATCGGGAAAGTCCACATCATTGGTTTTGTGTGCAGTTTTGAACTGTTCTATATTTCCCTTTTTCGCGTAGACGCTAGCATTGCGAATTGAATGCGAAAGTACAAAAAAGTAATCATGCTCCCATTCCTTGTGGTAACGATACGTTTTTCGGCTTCTTTGCTTCATCATTTTTTCTCAAACACTGGAACTATCAAATAAGCACTGAAACTTATCGAACTGTTGGCGAATTTGTCACGGCCTGTCTGTTTCGCTCCACTGTGCGCTGTAGCGAATGTGGGGCTCGTGCGGCAATAACCAAGAGACCGTTCTTGAGCAGCGCACACACACCACTCTCTGTTCACGGAGCTCCTGTAGCCTTTTTTTCAGTTCAGCCAGCAGTCAGGGCAGAGACTTTCACAACCCATTCCCCAAGGGTTAAACACACACAAGGGCAGTAAAACGTACGACATTACATGCGCAGATCTGAATGAATTTTTAGGCTATGGAAAAAAAGTAATCATATAGCCCATTTATTTTTTTGCCAAACATTCTTGCAATTGACTGGTCAATCGTGATCAACTGGTTGGGCACCCCTGCTCTCTTGTGTCCTTATATTAAGGTAAGCTATCCTATCGTATCCTTACATTCTGATAATGCAAGCTGAGCCGGGAATCCATTGAATTCTGAGAGAAGGAGATCATCCACAAAGGACAACAAGTGAGCTGAAGCCCATACTCCAGGATCGCCATATTACATCAAACTGCAGGGCAACATAGCCGAGCGACTGCGGATATATTGACTGGGCATTGCCTCTATTGGCCAGACATGAGTTAATTGACTTTCTCTTGCAAGACTGGTGCCATTTCCCGCTGGCATTTTTCCAGACACTGGTAGACTCTGCGCCACGGAGCATCCAGGCTGTACAGGCTGCACACAGTGACCTAGCACTATTATAGTGGTGTTTCCATTTTTTATATTAGCACCTCTAGCTTTGAATGTGCCCTATAGAAGAGAAATAGGATAGATCTGGAAATGGGGTAGAATAAATGGTAACTAAAGATGTTCTGCTTGAAGTACACAATAGAGCAAATAAGGCTATGCAAGGCTTGAAACTAGTGGCCCGACTAGTTGAAGAAATTAAGAGAAATTTAAGGAGAAAAGTTCATTTCAGTTTATTTGTTATAGACAGCTTAGGAAAAAGTCAGACAAGCAGTGTGAGAAGAAAAAAAACAGCAGTGTGAGCCAGTGGTTGGGGTGGAGTTCAATAATCTGACAGCTTGTGGGAAGAATCTGGATCTCTGAATCTGGAGGTTCGTGCCTTTATGCTCCTATAACACTTACCAGAGGGGAGGGGGGAGAAAAGTGAGAAACCAGGATGACTGGTGTCCTTAGCCATACTAATGGAGAGAAAATGGTTTGTAACAGCATAGGACACAGGGTCTCACAAATGATGAGAAACTTTCAGATGAAAGGTTATTTTCTAATGTATGTTTCACTCAAGCATTTAAAGAAGATAATGGGGCTGATGCCTGTTTACTAATTGTACTTAAGTGAGAGATGTCATTATAGATATATAATTATAGATGTTAGACCATTAACAAAACTGTAAAAACTCACATCATTGCTGATGCAGTACCCAATAAACCACATCATTAATGTAACGAATCAGCTTATTGACACCTCCCCCATTCGCCGCGAATTTGAGAACAGAGAATTCAAAACTCTGCCCAGGACCTTGCCTTTTTCCTCTCATCCCAGTGCTGTCCAGTTATCCCGGTGCCGTCCAGGGCCAGGCTTGCTTAGCCTCTGAGACCTGTGTTCTGCTCTCTCTACAGCAGGGTCTCACACTCTGTACCCAGAGGGCCTCCTGAATCCCTGTGCCCCCGGACTTCAGTTCCAACCGGAGCAGACAATGAAACAAGAAACCAGTTGACTGTCTACAGCCCCCGAGTAGCATTTTCTAAACTGGCTATATACAGGACTTTTCTTAAGACTTTCTACAGTTGTTTACTCATTTGCCTTTTTGAAGGTACACTTACAGTACACTTAAGTGCCTGGCTGGTGTTACATCTCAGTGATAATTGTATATTAATCAGGCAGTTTCTTAAATCATTAGACCGCCTATGTAACAGAACGTGGCTGGAAGAAATACCAGAAGATGCTCTACTGTGGAGTCTGAGACCCCCGGTATTCATATTTAACACTGATGACCATTTTTTAAAACTGGTTCTTGGAAAAATGTAATCTTCCACTCTAGCTTTTAGTTTAATGGCACTGTAAAAACCAATGACAAAATGCAAATAATTTACTTTGTACTGTGACCCTTTGCACTGTGAAGTAAATTACTTTAAATACTGATGACTACCCACCATTTCTGAGCAAACCCAAACTTGAGTATTTCTCTTGCTGGAGCAGTTTGGATAAAGAACCTTACTCAAGGATACAAGAGCAGTTTTCCCTTGGCTTTGAACCCACAACCTTGAAGACACCCGAACACTTCTCCATGGTGCCTTTTGTAAAAGCAGTGACTTAAGATGAGTAATCTTTCAGACAGCTATTTGGCCACGCAGTAACACTCTTGAGTGCTGTATACCAATCCTAGCTAACAGGGAGGGTAGTTCATTCTGATATTCACTTCCTGGAGGTGGGATCTTCTTAGCAAGTATTCCAGTGACTTTATATGTTTGTTGAAAATGCACCAGGGCTCAATAAGCAATTTAACCCCACAAATGAACAAGGCCAGGTGATTATGGAAAAATTAACAATCCCTCAAGACAAACCGAGGTCAGGTATGAATTTATTAGGGTCATAATGTAGTCACATGAATCTTCACAACATGCCAGTTACAGAATAAAGGAAAATCCTCATTACAATATGCCCTGCATATTCCAAAAGAATGTCAGTTAAACACGAAAAACCTAATTTTCAGTATAAAAATATGTTTAGAAACCCACAATAATCAACAAGGCCAGCAAAACGTCAAATTTTACAAGCCTTTGCTAAACCTTTTTAAAGGGAACTTTGCCCCCTTCAGAAGTGAATGGCTGTTTCCATACTATAATTTTAATCCAGAGCTCCGAGAACATTTAGGCACAGGGTCTGTAAACTCTGCTTCTCTTGTTTTGGACTCTAGATGAGGTAACTCTTTTCCTCATATTCACAAAGTGGTCTCTCTTTCCTTACTCCGAGTCATATCTCCAGCCACAGGAAAAGGCGCTGGCCAGTTATAAGTGAAATCACATTGGTTTTAAATGTGGAGTCACATTTTAAATGCGTCTTAAGTTTCAAATGATTTGAGCCATTCTCTTCCCACCCAATTAAAACCGCTTCCCCTGTAGGAGTTGTAACCAGTGATTAGGCTTGGTGCTAATTCATGAATGAAAACGCTTTCTCTGGCCACGCCAAAGCATTGTAAAAGATCTCATCCTCCCATCCTGTGCAAAACTGAAGACATCACAGTACTACTGTTCTGTTATTTTAATTAAATGATATATTAAATGCTAATATGATTGGCATTTAATTTGGCGTACCATTCCTTGAAACTCAGAAACTTTTTAAGAGCAGCACAGCAACATCATGAGAATTGACATGCATATTTTACTATTTGCCTAAAAAGTTTTTTTCTTTAGTTACAAGACATCTGATTTTAACTTCCTTAATACCCTTTTTTTTTTGCTAACAGCTTTTCTGTTAATATACAGTTTTTACAATCACAAAAATACTGCTCAAATCACATGATCAGGGGGAAAAGAACTCTTCAGATGGCAGCAAAACAACAACGCTTGTTCAGTTTCAGGTTTCAGGTGAGTTTGTGCGGTTGACAACATCCAGCCCCGCTGAGCGCTGGGAAGCGTGCTCATTTCACCAGTTTCACGTCCAGCAGCTGCAGGTCGCCCATGATCTCCAGCTGGTCGATCCGCGACAGGTCTTGTACCCTGTGCTTGTAATCCAGCAGGTGAACCCCATTCACCGCCACCTTGAACTGCTGGGGTTCGCAGAAGATGATCATCTGCAGACACACGCGCACACACACAGAAAGTACACACGCCCATCAGTGCTCCCTGCATGCAGGGCGTGTGACTGTGCACACTGAGTCTGAGCACCTCCCCCTCCATTCAGGAGACTGGCCCCATCTCCAGCCAGCAGACCCTGGAGCTTGTGTGCACACCGCGAAAAGAAACAAGGTGTCGCTCGCATAAATCTTCCTAAGTAACACTTTTCGAGTTAAATGGGTGCTTTTAAATGAGACCGACGGATTACACTTAGTCGAAGTCGAAGGCGTTACATCAGAGGCGGAGCGGTGGCTCTGTGGCTCAGGATCTGCGCCTGTGACTGAAAGGTTGCCGGTTCAAATCCTGCGGCTGGCAGAGAAATCCTACTCTCTTGGGCCCCTGAGCAAGGCCCTTAACCCCAACTGCTCCAGGGGCGCCGTACAATGGCTGACCCTGCGCTCTGACCCCAAGCTTCTCTCCCTGTCTGTGTGTCTGTGTCTCATGGAGAGCAAGCTGGGGTATGCGAAAAGATGAATTCCTAATGCAAGATATTGTATAGGGCTAATAAAGAAACATCATTATTATTATTAAACTCCTCGTCCACAGCACCGGAGAGATGTGTAGTTCACGGAGTGTCCAGCTACCGCTTTCTTCCGTTTATAGCTTTTACGTTTATTTAAACAGGTTTCAATTATAAAAGTGTGCAACAGGTTCAATTATCGCATTAAGTATCAGAACAGGTGATTTTGGGGGGGAAATCAATTTCAGAGCAGGAGGGTCGGGCATCCTTTGCTGCAACACACCCTACAGTGTGGTCTTGCGACGACGAATTAGCATCCTAACGCGTCTCATAAACTGACCACCGTGGCAACGAACCACACTGGGAGACGGGGGGGGGGGACCCATTCAGTGAGGGTCTTCCCTCAGCACGGCGAGTGGAAACGGCGCCGTTACCTCAAAGTACTCTCCGGCCGAGAAGGGGAAAGTGGGCAGGCTGTTCTCCTCCGGCCCCCAGCACTCTTGCAGGAAGGAGTTCCTGACGAACACGCTGGCCCTGAGGCGGGGGTTCAGGTGCAGAGCGATGTCGCTCGACTCTCCAGAGCGCAGGTTGATGCTAAAGCTGCGGGATACAAGAACGGGGTCACCGTCTCGCTATCTCCAACATCAGCTGCCGTCACGGCAAACCAGAGGCCCGAGCCCTGCCGGACCAGAGCGACAGGACAGACAGAGGCTGCTACAGGATTGGTTCACGTTTACAACTCGGCTTACATCCCCCACTCTCACTGAAACGGCTGCTATCCTTTTCCTCATTCCACCCAACAGGACAAATGCAGTATGGAGTAACACACTTGACCTGGGCTGTAGGCACGGCGGGGTGACGGCCCCACAGAGCTGGGGCCCCGGCTTCAATTCCACGCCCAGTGTGCCGTCTGGGTGGAGCCTGCACGTTCTCCCCACGGGCGTGTCACCCTGGTGCTCTGGTTTCCAGTCCAAAGACATACTGGCAGGTTAACTGGTGTCTGGGAAAACTGGCCCTGGCGTGATGGACTGGCGTCCCCTCCGGGATCTACCCTGCCTCGGGCCCGTTGCCTGCCAGGATGGGCTCTGGCTCCCCCTCGACCCTGGACTGGAAAAAGCAGTCGGAAACAGATCTTCTCTCACCTGTGTGGATAAGCACTGACTTGTCCTTTAATAGTGATCGATTGTCCCGGGGCCACTCCATTGACTAGACTGGCTCTGTAAGGAAGGCTCTGAAACAGAACAGGGCAAAAGGTATGAATAAATCAGAAAGGAGTCTGGATCACAAGGGCCACACACAGCTTCTGGTTTTACGCATTCTTACAGCTGTATGTGTATGCCTGTCGCACACAATTGCATTTGGAATTACATGGTTGCAAAATACACAATATGGTCAATTGTAAAATATGAAATATTAAGAAAGAAACTTTTATTCAGATTTAACAAGAGAGCAGGCAGCCTCAGTGCGATAATCTACCCTCAGTCAGTCCTGGAAGTGTTTGTGATTCTCACAGCAGGGTCTGTTCAGTAATTAAAGTACCAACTGGACAGGATTCCTGCAGCAGAGTAGACAACACTGCCTACCCCTGAGGTCTAGAGCACACATAATAGCTACAATATATGAAACGTGTTTATTTTTAGGATAAAATTAATCCAATGGCATTTAAGAGTGTGTGGCTGTTCGTGCCAACTGATCTGTATTTCTGGATGACTTCCCAGTCTAGCTGTGTGCTTCATGCGAGTCATCCGCAGCAGTGAATGTGTCCAAACCTATTTGGATTTTCCCCATGTTGCCTGCTAAGTATATGCAGAAATTTGTTGATCTTCAATGTAGCAGTGTATCAAGCACTCCTCAAGCGCTGCAATCCGGTGATGAGTGATGTTAAATTCGGATAGGGGTGGCTCTCTGCTGACCCTGGGCTCCGGCCACACTCTACTTACCAGGTCACCTGTCTCGCAAAACACCTCCTGCAAAAAACAGAAATAAAAATCCCAACAATTAGGAGAATATAAAATCCCAGAAGCCAAGGGGGAAATGGAGAGTAGCTAATGATTGTTTTAGAAGTTCTGCAGCATGAAGTGAGATGTGAAGTTAAGGTACAGTATGTCTCACTCTACTCTTGGGTTACAAACGATGGATGCACAAGGTTATAGAATTCACACTCAAAAAAAATACTGCCCCTGCCTGCATACTGAGAGACAGCGGTGTCGAACCATGACACTAAACAGTATCTTAAGTGCAAAGGCACTGTTGGCACAAGCAAGGTGAAAAGGCAACTGTTTCTGGAAAATTCCTGGTCTTATTTTAAATCTACTTACATGTCCAGCAGAAAGCTTTGTTTAACAAGAACCTCTTTGAATTGTGAGGGAAACACCTTACAATGCATTTTTTTGATCAAATTGCTTAGTACTCTTGGAGCTTAATAACTAAAATAAAGCAAATTAGAATGATCTCATCCATGAAACAGTTAATATGCAACCATGCACTTTGCCAATATAAGCTTTCTGTCAAGCTGGTCACATTTCAAAAGACAAAAACAATACCAACGAGGGGAAAATGAATCTAACTGTTACAGAAAGTGAGCACAGCAAATGGAATCATAAAAACATCTTGACCTTGATCTGAATTCACACAGTGCATAACAAAGTGCTTTATTTCCTGTTGCAAAAAGCCCCAGTTTGTCACAGATCAAGCACAACTTCAGTTCCTGGACTCTCATGTCTAAAGGAAGCTGTACAACTCTGCGTGCAAAAGCAAAGCTGTAAAGCTGTCAGAGTACGCTGGGACAGCTCAGAAGGCGCACACTGGGACAAACAGGCTCCTGCTGAAGTATTCACCCCCTGCCAAGGTTGTCCCGTTCTGCTGAATTACAAATAATGTGTACACACCTTTTTTTAAAGAGAATGCTTTTATCAGGGCTTGCATGCTTAAACGGATCGCCGTTTTGAATGAAAGAAGTTAAAATGTTAGCAGAATTGAAGTGAGGTGGACTGTGTTTTCACCTCCCTGAGTCAATACTGGGTGGAAGCAGCAGTTAACAGCTAGTCAGTCTCTCGGGATACGTCTCTACAGACTTCAGACACTGGAACGGTCGTCAGAAAGGGGGCGAATTCTTCCGAAAGGCACTGGATGAACGGTATGGGGCAAGTGCCCATGGATGTTGGTTTTGAAGACCTTTTGCCTTTTTTTACCCTTTAAAATGTATTGAGGTAGAACTTTTGGAGCTAAACTGATTAGGTGAAACAAAAAAAGTGGCAAACAGTTTGGATAAATTAATTACAAGCTCAGAGGCCCCCTACTCCTAAAAGCACATGGATAACCCCCACCCTCGCCACTGGGGCAACGCAGGCCATGGACTGGATTGTGAAGAGTGAATGAAAGCTTACTTTCACGTGTGTGTCTTTGCTCGGCAGAGCTGATGCTGGCGGAGATGAAGTCTGAAAATGTAAGTAAAACACTAGAGCAAATGAAAACATGGATGATGCAAAACAAACATTTCTCACACTAAAACCATGCACATGTAAAGACACACTGGAATTGTCAAGCGACAAGCTTAACACACGCTGATCTCATAGAACAGCGCTTCACACAGCCGACATGCAGTTAAACTTAAGTTAGAGCCACAGAACCGAGAGCCAACATTGATGAAAAAGCAGAAGCATTTCAATCACTCCCACGGACGCTCTTAATATTCTTCCCATGTAGTCAGAGACAACAAAAGACCCACACTGCTGTATAATCAGGTCTCCATTCGTTGAAAGAGGTGCCTTTTCTTAAGAGCCTGGCCTCGATTTTTGACACTGGACACTGAAGCGCTCCTCGCCCACACTCCAACCTGATGTTTTCATCAACTGCTTGGATCCAGGCTCTGTGAAGTTGGCCCTCCATACAAACAGCACAATAAATTTCTGAAGCCCCCCGACTCGTTAGTCCTCTGTTAGTGTCAGTTTGTGTCACTGAAAGTAGGGTTTATGCTTCTTCCGTTCCCGAAATATAGAGCCTACTTTGTCAGGGAATCAGGTGACAGTCTACAAGGAACTTTACTGGTAGTAACACACTCTCGGTACTTAATTGACTTAATTACTGAATATGAGAAGGCTTGGTACCGGTCTGCTTTTATATATTTGCTGCTCACAAATGACGATAACGAAGCACTGACACTGAAAGGGAATGGTTGTGTTTTAACTGATGACAAAGCCTGCAAACTGCATTCTTGTCTGTGCAGGGGGTGGTGTGGGGAGGATCTTTTCCATTTGAATAACAGTCATTCATCTGTATGTTTGTGTGCGCCTATGTGAATAGTTAAATTAGATCCGTCTGCAATATGTTAATCTCACCACACGACTTTTATAAGACTTAAAACAACATTAGGAACAGAATGCTGCAATTACCAGTGGCTGTATTACATAGTTATTAGGGTTAAACATGCCTGATGTGGTTTATTCCTTACATAATTCCAAACTCCCTAAAGTACTCCTTCGGCATTTGTACCCACAAGTGTAATCCTATGTATGTAACAGTGTAACGGTTCTGTATTTGGTTATAATCATATCATTCACACTGCTGGAAATAATTTACAATTCGTAAGAAGAGGGCTTAGCCGGAGGTGCAGGTAATATATCGGAAATAGAGACAAACTCCTGGCTTCAACCGATCAAAAGATCACAACTGGATGATCTGGGGGGTCATGATTTTTGTGTGTTCGTAGGGGGCCAAGGTCACAGAGTCACGCGATTCCCCGAAAAGAAGGCTCCAAGTCTCGGGAACGAAGGCAGCTCAGACGCTACTTTCAACGACACAAACGGAGCACGGTGTGTTTCATTGTTTGTGCTGTTTGCAGTATTTTGCGCGCAGCAAATACGTAAAAGTCGACTGGTATCACACCTCCTCAAGCTCAATAATTAGGCACATTCACTATTTAGAGTGTATTATTACCGGCAAAGTTCATTGTAGACCTTCACGTAATTCCCTGAAAAAATAAGGCATGTATCTCTGGAGAGAAAACAGCTTGGACGCTACTTTCAATGGCACAGACCAACACTCGCGGCGCACTAACAAATGCGGTGGGTTTATATTGTTTGTGCTGTTTGTAGGGGGGTCCATTTCACAGAGCCTTAGATCTGTAGCATCTACCATACAGGGATACATTTTCTGTGTCTTCGTTGCTGAGCAAGTTAGCAAGCGGTCACAAGACACAAGACACATAGCGGTCACACTATTAACACAAACCGATAAAAGCCGATTTAAGTAACATTTCAGGACCATATTTCTTGAATACATTCCAGGCAAATAACCCCAGACATGCAGTGTTCAATAAGGTTTACGACATTTTTTAAAATGGATATAACTCACAATTTATGACCAAGAGCATTTTATTTCTAGGAACAGGGGGGTCTGTCGGCTAAATGTAGCAAAACTGCGATTTTTCAACTAGAGAAACAAAAGAGATGCACTCCTCTGTAGTGCCTGCTGAAAACGGACTCTGAAGTACTGTTGAAGGAAACCCCAAGAATATTTACTTACAGAGCTTGAAACGAATGCAATGGCCTCAATCTTGACTTTGCCACTTATTCCGAGCGTGTCCACCTTTTTGAGGTCCACCCTGTAGTTGTACTGCAGCAGGTGCTTCCCGTTCAAGGCCACCTGGAAGAGGAGGCACAGCAGTGACACTCCGCTCTCACAGCTGGGAGCCAAGAAGGCATGGCTTACCCTACAGAACAGCAGCAGAGAGTCTCAAACAGAACAGGTGGAGGTTTATTCCACGCTGGAAAGAAAAGAAAAGAGACGAGACACAACGTTTCGGCTGTAGAGCCTTCTCCAGGTGTGAAGAAGGCTAAATTGGATAAAGGTTTATCTAACCACTCTATCCAATTCACTTGAAGAAGGCTCCACAGCCGACATGTTGCGTCTCTTTTCTTTTCAGAACGGAATAAACCTTTACCTGTTCCTTTGCAGCCTGCGCATGCTGACGCAGCTCCCTACGACTACTGCTGTGCGTTTTGTGCTTGGTGCTCGGTCGCTCATCATCTCTGTGTCATTTTCATGGCAGGAATCTGTAGGAGGACCATTATTCATCCGGCCATTCGTTTTCTAACAGCTTTATCCAGTTCAGGGCCACAGAGAGCCAGAGCCTATCCCAGCAAGCAATTGGCACAAGTCAGGATACACCCTGGACAGGATGCCAGTCCACTGCAGGGCACACACAGAAGCAAACACACACACACTGACACCTAGAGCCAATTTTCCCAGAAGCCTATTAACCAACCAGCATGTCTTTGGACTGTGGGAGGAAACCAGAGTCCCTGAAAGGAAACCCACACTAACACTGAAACTCCGCACAGACAGCACCCCAGGAATTGAACCCAGGGCCCCAGCGCTGCAGGGCAGTCATTTCAGTCATTGTGCCAACATGCCACCCAACCTTTATTTATAAAATTGGAGAATTATTTCTGGTCATACTGTATAATCTGCCAAATTTGCAATGGACTGGTTATTTTAAGGCACATGAGCACTTGCAAACAAGCTCCTCTTACATCTTCACCTGTCCGAGTCGTTCACCTCCTGGCAGGGGGCCGAAGGGGAGAGCAGCTCCCAGCAGCATCGCTGCAGCCGGGCAGCCAAGTCACCGGAGCCGCCGTAGCGCCGCGCGCTGAGAGGACCTGACTCATGCCCCCTCTACCCTGGCAGCGCACCCTGGACACGACGGTGCCTACGCTGACGGGCCGGAGGAACTGAACCTCTTTAGTCCTGAACGGAGAAGCCCACGAGGAGGACGGACACAAGTAGTCACAATCCTCAAAGACAGGGACAGAGTCAACCTAGCGGACGTCTTCAGGACGAACAGCAAAGCACAAACTAGAGGAGCCCGTGTGGGAGTGCTTTTTAACACCTGGCACCTCTCCTACTGTACTCCTAATGAGTACAAGCACGTGCCTCCTGCTGCTGGTTTGAAACTGGAGCCATGAATCTCCAACACAACAAACTCCACCCAGATGTTGGGAACTGGGAAAACCGCTGTTTTGACGAAGCTCATTGTCGGCAGGCTTTTTCCCGCCGAATAAACATTTATACCGAAGTCTGGGTGGATGTCAGCTGCAGCCATGTTATCAGGCGTTTCTTTACGCAAAGGTTTGTGGGAGTCTGGAACAAGCTTCACAGCCATATATGTGAAGCTGATACTTTGGTTTCTTTCAATATGAGATAATAATAATAATTCCTTACACTTATATAGCACTTTTCTGGAAACTCCACTCAAAGCTCTTTGCAGGTAATGGGGATCCCCTCCACCACCACCAGTGTGCAGCCCCCACCTGGGTGATGCGACATGAGCCATAGTTCTCCAGTACGCTCACCACACACCAGCTCTCAGTGGGGAGGAGAGCAGAGTGATGAAGCCAGTTCATGGATGGGGATTATTAGGAGGCCATGACTGGTAAAGGCCAGGGGGACATTTTGTCCAGGACACCGGGGTAACACTTTTATTGACCATTTTTTTCAATGACCACAGAGAGTCAGGACCCCGGTTTTACATCTTATCTGAAAGACGGCGCCTTTTTACAGTATAGTGTCCCTGTCACCATACTGGGGCATTAGGACCCACACAGAACACAGGGTGAGCGCCCCCCTACTGGCCCCACTAATACCTCGTCCAGCAGCAACAGGCTACAAACCAGCAATGTTTCAATCAATCTCTTGAAAGAAACAGTCAGCCAGGGCTAAGAACATGTGAACGGTTATTAATCAGAGGAGAGGATACCCGTTTGTAGCCTGTTTAGTAGTTAGTAGCTAATATCACTCTGCAACTCACAGCTGGCAGCCCACTGAAGCTCAGCAGGTGTGAGCCTGGTCAGTACCTGGATGGGAGACTCCTGGGAAAAACTAAGGTTGCTGCTGGAAGTGGTGTTAGTGGGGCCAGTAGGGGGCGCTCACCCAACGGTAAGTGTGGGTCATAATATCCCAGTTAGTAATGGAGACATTATACTTTAACACAAGGCTCTATCCTTTGGATGAGATATAAAACCTTTGGATGAGGTCCTGACTCTCTGTGGTCATTGAAAATCCCAGGGCGTTTCTCGAAAAGAGTAGGGGTGTTACCCCGGAGTCCTGGTCAAAATTTCCCATTGGCCCTTACCAATCATGGCCTCCTAATAATCCCCATCTCTGAACTGGCTCCATCACTCTGTTCTCCCCACTGAGAGCTGGTGTGTGAGGAGTGTACTGGTACACTATAGCTGCTGTTGCATCATCCAGGTGGATGCCACACATTGGTGGTGGTGGAGGGGAGTCCCCATCACCTGTAAAACGCTTTGAGTGGAGTATTCAGAAAAGCGCTGTATAAGAGTAAGGATATTTATATATCATTAAGATCTTACACTGGGAATCCACCCGGCAGGGACATCTTACCTTGAACATGTCTCCCTCCACCAGAATGATGGTCTCGAAGTTCTCCCCTTTCTGGAGGGGCAAGTCGTAGAGGATCTCCTCCTTGCCCCAGCGCTCCTGCTGCAGCGAGTTACACACCACGCAGGGGGAGCGCTTGAACCGGGGGTTGAAATGGAAGGCCACGTCAGCACGGGGCTTGGTGCTGCTCCCACACATAAAATCCACCTGAAACCTGGACAGGGAGGGAGGGGGCGAAAGAACCGGGGTGACGCTGGAAATGCGAAGCCACAAGTACGTGCGAGGAGATCACCTGCACCGGTGGTTCTGCACTGTTAACCTGCGGCGAGCGGAGAGTTCAGCTGTTCATTCTGTCCCCGAATCCAATACGGCAGCAAATCACACAACACTGGGCCGCAAATTCCTCAATCAACAGATCAACGAATACAATGCTCATCATGCTGGAGCCAGGCACCATTATCTCCCATTAGATTGTCGTATCAGAGTCTCTCACGTTTGCAGTTAACACTGTGACTGCACTACATCGTTTCAGCATTTGCAGTGTTTGCCTATCTGAAGGTGAGCTAAGAGGAAGGTAAACACAGACGATCAAAGGAACACAGGAACAACACCATCACCCTCCTGTCGCTCGAAGCTTGTGTCATGTGAGAGGACCTTGTTACGATGACTCTTGGAGACCAGACTCTGGATAAGCTATCTGAACTTTGTTTTAGAGATCTTGCTGTCCGGTTATTTTTGGAAATTCTGATTTCCTGCATTGTGGAATCCTCGGACTAAAAACGTTCTCTCCCGGTTGGGCGATGCCTTTCTAGAACAGGAAATGATTCCGATTCATTGAAATGACTGTGGAAATGATTCCCACTTCTGCATATCCATGGTCATAAAAGGGAAGATTTATTTCTGAGAAGTTCCAGGCAATGCTGGGTTCTCCTCTTTTTGGTCCGTTTAGGCATTGATTCCAGATTACAGGGCTAGAATTCCCTGTTTCCAGGTCTACAAGACGTTAGCCTTTGAAACACGTGGTCTTTTAAATACATGAGATCGATGAACTGGTGTATGTTGTGTAACGTTGCATGTCGTACAGATGGTGTTTTTTGTTAAGAAATATTTGTCCTGTCAAGTTTGACTCCGATTTTGTTACTCCATCACCAGAACTGTGACGGATGATAGAGAACAGCTCATGTGCCACTAGTATGCACACGCCTGGTTTTGCCACTCGAGTGTCATTCGCTGAACTGCGCTCTCTGTTGAGTGACAGAGACAAATGAATCACTGAGAGTTCACTGCCAGAATCCCTAAGAAAACTAAATTTGCTTTTTTATTCAGACCAGTCCTACAAAGATGTTAGAAATTAGTGAATTTTAATACTAACTTTGAAGTCTGCTGCAAAAGCAGTCCACATAAGTGACCTTTGTCTCTGTCCCAAGCTAATTCTGTTTTCAGTTTAGAAAGAGCAAACATTCAGCTAATAAAACATCTCTATTAATTTTGAGTTCAGATTCTTATCTGGTGATAAAAGGTTGTATTTGCCAGCAGCTTCTCATGATTGATACTAACAAGGGGTTTCAGAAGTCTCCATGGCAACAATCATGGATTGCGAGCAGTGTGGACTTTCTGTAAGCAAACTAGTTGCTAAATTTCCTGAAAGAAATGCTTACCTGTCAGCATCACTGAGAACTGCTCCTTGGATAAGTACCATATCACCAGGATGAAGTCCCCCCAGTATTGTCCCAGCATAGGGAATTGCCTATAATGACACAGAATGCGCAATCTTACGCTCATACCACAATACTTCATCCAATGGTTACAATTTTAAACATTCGTGTTACCAATAATTAAATCATGTCAGCACATATTTTCAAAGGGTTCTTGTCTGTTGTGGGCTCTTTCTGTGAGTGCTGTGAAACTCGGTTTTTACTTGGCACTGATGACACCTGACTTCTGTTTCAAGAATTTCACATTAAAAATTAAAATTCCACCCTGTTGAATCAACTGTTCTATACACATCTGGTCATCAAAGCTCTGCAACGTCAAATACAATTGTATCAGACTCCGAGATATGTATTTTCACTGAATTCATTTCTTTGTTGTCCTCATGTTTTTCTTTTTAAAGACAATGAAATTGAGTATATAACGTTATTTTGAAGCTCGCCTTTGCCTTTGGATCATTTGGAATTTGAAACTAGTTTCTTTTCTAGGACTCAGGTGGCTGTCACCGACAGCATGGACTTGCTCCGGTCTAAACTGTTAAACGCAAAAGGCGTTGCTACATTACCAATCAGAACACCCTCTTGTGTATCTATTATCTCAGAAGGCTAATTTCATACAGCCCCGAATTTGAAAGACAATTCCCATGAATAAATTCTATTTCGACCTTAAAATCGAGCCAAATAAGATATGGCTGGTGAAATATCTTAGCTATTCTTTTATAATTCACCTTTTTGAAACTCCCATCGTGTGATTACTTTTCAAAAGAGTAATTTAATTCATATCTGATTAATTCATTAATATTTGGATAATTCATGTATAATAAGTTATGTCTGATGTGCTTTATACTGTTTGAATTGTTTTATTATTCTTTTATACAGTTTGTTATCAGTAAAGCCTTTTAAAGTAACATTTTTTTACTAATGAAAATAAATATGCGTTAAACCCCATAATTGCTGAAGTGTCTGTAATACATTAAACTGTTACAAAACCACTGACATGAGTGGCAGGTACAACGAAAAATGGCCATTTTAAACCGAATGTTAAAAGAGGCAATAATGCAGTTTCTCTATACAGACTGAGCGCAGATGAGCTGGTCGCGGTTTCTCAGATCAATGCAGTAGAAGTTAACTCAGAAACGAAACTGCAAACCACGACTAAGACGACGCAATTAAAGCAAACTGGAAATTAACCAGCCGACGACTTAAAGAGGCGTTACGGTAAATCTAGAGAAGCGACACTACTAAATCTACTGCATTTTCACCTCATTTAATGACCTGGCTCCCAATACGGTGTGGGGTGCACACAGAATTTACTTCTTTCCAGCAAACATTAATACATGAAGCAAGACAGCTTTCACTTTCCACTTCTTTTTCTGCTGAGGAGTGAAGTGGGTAGGGGAGAACACGGTCTGACTCTTATCTCTCGGTCCATAATCGTCTCTTTCAGCTCATCTCCACAGCAATGCCGCACAACATGGGGGTCTGCTCGAGTGACGCAGGCCGGCGCGCCCGACCCGCTGCCCGATGCGACACGATCTCGCCAAGCATCTCTCTTAATTTTATTTTAAAATATATAACATTGTGCAGCACACCCGGCGGTCCCAAAACGAAAGAACAGAGCGACATTTGCGCGTCACCGACCACAGGGCAGCTGTGAGGCACTGGGTGCTGTGCAGTACACCCGCAGTGCGGTGCAAGAGATCTTACCGGATTTAAAACCGTTTGCCTGGGACTCGTAACAGACATGACTCCTGTCCTGCGTGAATACGTGCCCTGGTCCAGCGATTTATATCACGAAATTGCACGCAATTTTAATTCCGCCTTATTTTCACTTCCTCTTTCGCAGACCTGGAGGGCGGAGTGAATTTTATCAGCCAATCGTGGCTGAAGGTCCTCCCTGGCAGGTTGTTGATGCTGGGAAGATGTCACCATGTGATTGTGCTGTTCGAAAATGAGCTTTAGATCCATGTGGCTTTGCACTTGAATAATCAGATTGTGGGTAAAACACATCCGTCTGGAAAGGAAACATGAAGGTTTTTTTTTCTTCTCAAAAGGCTTTCAAACAATAGGAATGCTATTGGTTTGCTCAAATCCAAACATATGTCTACAGAAATGTTCAAACGAATGTCGGTACTTGAAAATTAGGTGATTAATCCGGCAAACTGATTTTAAATCGATGAAATTGACTATTAAATCTTCCCTGGATCCCTAATTTCTGGTTACATTGTTCGTATTTTAAATATCAAAAGGCCAGTCCCAGCCCTGTCTTTGCTAGACTCATCTTTCCTTCATAATTGCTTCACGTCCCAGCCCATCAGGTCAGGAACCATCCCGACAGTTACTGTTCAGGAAGTAACACCCACAAAGTTGTTTTACTGTAGAGGTTCAAGCTTGGTTGAATGTGCTTCCTCATACCATACATCGTGGGCTAGAACTGTGGCCTTTTCAAGATCTCATTCCGACTTTCCGCTTAACATTCCTAAGTTTTAATCACATCTGTGGAAAAAAAAACACCCCTGAAATGCTAAACCACGTGCCCGGCCGAATTTAATTGATTATTCTTAATTGGGTGGAGAAAACCTTCGTGTGTGTGGGCCAACTATGAGCCTTACCCTGGGTTTGCTCATCTCCTTGGCAGTGCAACAGCATTCAATTCAATTCAAGGTGCTTTATTAGCATTCTTTCTCCCTCTATTCAGCCGACTTATATCCCACCCTCAGACAGCTCCCTGCTTACTCAAGGGGTTCCAGCACCCAAGTACTTTAAGTCCCCAAATCAGGGACTACAGCTAAACCCAGAATTAAATTAAACAACTTTCATGATTTGTACTACCATAACCAATTACACTTCTAGTATCACAGCAGTGGAACACAATCACTGCTCTGCAACTGGATATTCCTTCATGGATTAGATTTGCAAAAACCACACTCCACGGACCCAGAGGCTAAAATGTACTTGCTTTTAAACTCTCAAGTTCTTAGCGCAAAAGCTCTTGGGTTGAGGCGAAGGACAGATTAAGATTTAGTCATCATACAACTTGTAAAGTCTGAAGCAGTGCAGGATGTTACACCTGTTTTGCCACGTTTGAGAGCACAAAGTGGTAAGCATAGATCTGAGACCACAGTGGATCAGAAGGCTGCAGTAAACCGCCTAAATAAAAAAGCAGCATTGAGTGTTCTTACTGGGAACCTCCTGTAGGCAAGAAACCAGGCAAGACGGTACAAGTGGAGAAAACAGAGACTGTTTAGAAGGAGGGAGTGCTGGGAGCCTTGAGGGGCAGGACTATTACTACAGACTTGGAAGGGTGCTCTGCCATCAGCTCCACTGGAAGAAGTGGAGCCGATACTCCCATCTGCAAGACGTTTTACAAAACATCACTGCATTGTACTAACTGGTGTGTATTAGCCCTCCCAATACCCATGTCCTGTTAAACTGAAAGGTTCTTACTATAACCACAGTGTAGTAAAGTCGGGTACAGAACCTCCTCTGTATCCTTGAGGAAGGAGCATAGGCTTGACACAGATCCTTAAACCCAGAAGGAATTTCTAAACAGCCTTTATTATAAAGCCAATATAAAACTATACCCATTTACATAAAACATTAAAAACTGTACAATTGAATCCCTTTGACACGTTTCCAGGGAGGTTGTGCAAAACGGTCTGCTTTAGTGGCCTATTTCACGGCAACACACAAGCGATACGGGAACAGAGGCGTCTCTGGGCATCGGTCCCGTCTCTGTGGATGCGCTAATGCATACAGTCCCATCACCCATCGCGCTCGTCCGCATCAAAAGTCGGCATCCAGCCTGAACGTGTTGTCCGTCGGCGCAGACATGACGCCCATCCTCTGGTACTCCCCTACGCGCTTCTCGAAGAAGTTGGTCTTTCCTTCCAGGGAGATGTTTTCCATGAAGTCAAAAGGATTCTCAGACCTGTAGATCTGTGGAGACAATTGCACTTCACTGAAGAGCAGCATAAGGCTATAAACTCTAGCTTTATAGTTTAGTAAGCTAAATGGAGCACTGCAGTAAACACTGGCAAACAAATAGTAAATTTTTACCCAGATTTGTAAAATGGGTTAAAACAGACTTTTACATCATGACACAAATTGCCATTTACAAAATAAGTGCCAAAACCTGTTAAGGGCAGCTTTCAGACGGCTCCTCATAGTCAAGGAGTGCTGTCAGCAGCCATACCACCCTGCAACTCGCAACGGAAAATGACCAGTAAAGCACTAGACAAGTGGAAGGAATTACCTTGCTGAAACCCAGCTCCAGCATCAGCCTGTCCGCCACAAACTCAATGTACCGCTTCATCAAAGTGCAGTTCATGCCGATCAAGTCCACCGGCAA